GAGCTGAGCTGGTCTATCCCTACTTCTGACACATCGCACTGCAATGTGTTTCGAAGAAGGACGAAAAAATCAAGAAATTCTCAAGTGGATGAGGAACGAACACAAACAAAATGATGTCGTATATACTCATTTCTTCCTTGCAGCTATTCAGCTGTTTTTGTTCAAGATGGAGCTATAGAAGACACGACCAATAAGTTCACTTCTGATTGGTATGCAAGTTCTAGGATGGGTGAGCCGTATTGGTACAGTGCACATGTGAAACTCACTTATTTTAAAGATCAGTCAAGAACCTTGTCACTACCATGTAAAATAAAACTGAATTAAGCAATTTGATTGGTGTTATGTTCGAATTCTCTTCCGATGATTCTACCGATTACACAAATTTCTTTCACTAAGAAAATGACTCATTTTCTCATTCTTGCACAAATATTCTCTCAAATGCAAGCCATTAGTCACGTTTTATCAAATGTAACATCCAACATTGCCATAAAGTTGTGCAATGCAATGAAGGTTGAGTGAGTAATAGAAGAAAACAACATTTTCGATACACAATTTTTGCATGTCAAAACAGTCAACATAACGAATACTAAATTTCAAATAGGAATAAAATTGATTTTCTTTATTCAATAGCAAATTCTAAAATTGTGCTACAATTTCTATCGAGGAAAATGAAACCTCTGGCTCTCACTCTACATATCCTAACATTATGTCGACAGGTTGGCTGTGTGAGTGTAAATGTTGGTATGGGTAGGTGTGACTGAGAATTCTTTCTTCTCGACCATACTAGCACACACGCATCCACAAATGCACCCGTGCCCATACTTGCTCATAGCCTGCAGTGAAGAAATATGCTTATTTTGCTCTTCATAGTTAAATCAAATCTGAAAATATAAAAGTCGTAACAACTGCTGATATGAGTACATCGAATGACTTATTATCATGTCCAATATCATTTGTATTATTTCATGATCCAGTCGTAGCACAAGATGGTCATACATACGAAAGAGCTGCTATTGAAGACTGGATTCGAAGAAATGGTAAAAGTCCGATTACACAACAACGGTTATCTATTAAACATCTCTATCCAAATCATCTGGTAACGAGGATTGTCGATTCTTTCGAGGAGTTCACACGCAATAAAAAATATCAATTTACATTGGACATCGACATACGCAAATCCGATCGACCATTCTTTCAAACGCAAACAAAATCGATCTACAATGCTCAATGGTTACTAAATAATGACAATTTATCCGAAATCGTTCTTTTGAAAATTAATGGTGCTCGAGCAAGAAAAGAAGCATCGTTCTATGTTGAACTCACTCGTCATCCAAATATTGTTCGAACATTTGATTTTGTCAACGACAAAGATGATAATCGACAGAACGGAGCAGTACTTTTAATACAAGAGTATGCATGTAAAGGAAGTTTGTATGATTTATTGCAAGAGCAACCAGTGCTTCCCAATGAAAAAGTTCTTGTACAAATGTTTCTTCAAATTATTGAGGCAATGATATATTTGGCATCGAATCAAGTCATTCACGGTGATTCAGCATGTCGAAGTGCTCTTGTATTTCATGCTGATCCAAATAATCCAGAAAACAATGTTGTAAAACTTACTGATTTCGGTCTCAGTCGTGCTAGTCAATTGTTTTCAGTAGTACCTAGTAGCGCACAAACACAGCTGGATATAGTTCCTGTTCGATATGCTGCACCTGAAATACTATTAGATAGTACACAACCTGATCATTATACAGAAAAATCTGAAGTAAATTCGATGGGTGTATTGATGTGGGAAGCATATTCACGATCTACATTACCATGGACTAATGTAGAAAGAGATGAGGACGTTATTCAGCTAGTAACAATGGGGGATGTTCTACCTCAGTCGTCAAATTGCAGTCAACCATATTGAAATATCATCGTTAAAACCTGGACCAAATTACCACGTGATAGGCCAACTTTCAATGAATTGAAGTGTCTTCTAACAGAGCAGTATTATCGTTCAGATAATTGCTTAAATAACGGTGTTTCCAAATGGAGACGTATAGCGCCAGGAATTTGCCTGGAAGGGCCATGTACCAATGGATGTTGTCAAGCTTACAATCAAGGAAACGTAGTCATCTGTATTGGAATGAAAAAATTCGACGTAGTTACGGAGTCTCATGAATCAACTACAGAATGTCCAATATGTTCCACATATGTTGAACCAAAAATTTGCGCATTTAATAATTGTTCTTGGCGTTGGTCAGGCATTCAACAATTGCTGAATAAACCACCCTTACGATGTTCTGGTGAATGGAAAATAGTTAGGGACGAATATCATCAATTTGATGATAACACAAATGAAACGATTAGCTGGCGTCAATTAGTCTTGGAAGCTAAACCGTTGTAAATAGCATAGATTGATTAACGTGTACCTAAATAGTTAACAAGATTTTTTAAGTAAAAAACCCTTCCAAATGTTACATGTTTTTTAAATCAATATTTTTAATTAAGGTTGATTTATTTTGATGTTCTGTATCAACGCTTCATTTTGCTATGTAAACATATGTTAAAAAATGAATATTGAGACGGCTATTGTTTGTTTTATATATTAAAAAAAATAAACTTGAAACGTTGAATTGGCTGTAATTTCATGATTCGATTCAATCATAACATGTGGTACCGACGAAGAGAATAGGAAAAAATCATTGAGTAATTGAACTAGAAAAGAGGTATCGATATATTTGCCACATTAACTTTAGTATTCTCAATATTTAAGCTCTACTTATGATCATATATTTCCAACGTGTTTTTATTTTAAATCTCATTTGGAATCATGTTTGATATATGAATGGCGATTACACTGTCGTCATTATCTTTGTAATAAAACCTTTGAAAAGTTTATCCTATTATTAAAAACTAAAACTGATCTATGAGTTGAACTTATTTGAAAGAATTTACAAAATCAGACACAGTGAACTTTTAGATAGTGAATATTGAGAAAACATTATGAACAGACTCATTAAATGTATAAACTCGAAAAAAGATTTATGAGAAACATAATAACGAAGAAACAAGCTATTATTTTATGGTATATTTTACATTGCAATACTTCAATGTCGTATAAGTAATCTGATAATATTTTCATTATTTGAAAAAAGAGATTCTTTAATCGAATAGATCATTGAATTGATTAGAACATTTGTTGAAGATATTATTTCGATTAGACAACAATTCCATGATCACTTTTTTATATATGATATCAAATTAAAATAAAACTGATCATACGCAACAAAGCATTACGGAGCAAAATAAGGTGGATAAGCTTCTTGTTGTGGAAAAAAATTCAAATGATGTGCTGAAGTTGATGGTTTGGCCAGATAGTTAGTATATGTAGCTGGTGTTTGATAAAGTGATGTTAATGGTTTTCCTATATCTTTAGTTGCCGAAAGATTTGAAAAACTATTTGAATGTTGTAATTGTTGTTGTTGTTGCCAATTATTTTGATTAGATTGCTCATCGAGTGAATAACGAAATTGCCATGGTTTTGATGATGACTCTCTTTCGATAATAGTCATACTACAAAAATCAACTTTACCAGCAAGTTCAGCAAGTCTTTCAGGTCTTGGTTGTCCTTTCATTAAATGTCGTGTAAGTACTTCAAGACTAGGTGCATGTCCAACAAGTAGTACAGTACCACCAGTTTTTCGATGTAATCTAATAATTTTTTTCATGGTTTCTTTTGAACGATCATAATATTGATATTCATTTTCTAATAATCGAAGACTATGCATTTGTGAACGATAATGTGGATCAATATTATAACCACCATTAATTAATTCGTTATCAGACATAAAATGAATTGGTGATTGAGCGTACCAAGATGTACATTCGAATAGACCAAGTTCAAGTCGTAATGCAACATGTCCTAAATAATTAAATAGAAAAAAGAAATATTATAATTATTTAAATAAATATTTATTTTTACCTTTTCGACCCATGCCTTCAAGAATACCATCAGCTGTTTGAATGCTACGAAAAGCAGGTGATGAATAACATGCTGTCACCGGTAAATTGTATCTAGCAAGAACAGTACCAACATTCCATGATTGAGCTAAACCTTTTGCAGTTAACGGAGTATCGACATCATAGTCTAGCCAATTGATTCGATGTGGTAATGATGGTGGCATATTTGCATCAAAAGGATAATAACGACCAGTATGATCAAATGCTCGTTGTGTCCAACCAGCACCATACATAACATCAACACGTTCTCCGTGACGAATAATAATAAAACGAAGAGGTGAATCACTTCCTTCATTACCAGAACCATATGATGAATTATAATAATCAGATTCTTCATTGACTTCTTCTTCCATATCATATTTCGATGCTCTACGTTTATGAGATTGTCCGAAGAAAATACCTGATGGATCCAAATATGAATTAATTTTTGCGTACATCTTCTTTATTCTGGAAAGAAAAACTACTAAGAAAAACAAATAAAACAATATAACTTTTTCTTAAAATGATTGGCAGCAAATATTATTTATATCGGTAACTTTTTATATTTTGAAAAAACTTATTACCATCACGTTACTCGTGGGAAGTAATCAAAGTGCAGTCACTCGACTATTACCTTCTTTTTCTCTCGTTTTACATTATTCGTTTACATAGTAAAGAAAATGATGAGCCATGACAGGGACAGGTAACCAGGTAGTAGGTATCTCATCTGTCAAAACAGCAATAAATATACACCTATATATATAAGAAAAAAAAAGGTATCGAGGACGACTATATAATGGGTGATTGACTTTTTTTTTGTGTTGCTCGTTCTGTTCTCAATCCCATGAATAAAAAGAAAAGAAAAGAAAAAAGCTGAAATTGTGAAAATCTAATCATCATGAACATGACGAAGTTGAATGTTTTTGTCCTTGTTAATTGAGTCTTGACTCATCTTTTCATCGATTAGCAATATTTCAACGATAGTCATAAATACAAACATAAAAAAATTTAAATATTCAGTACTCCTCATCATAACAGACTTGTTATTTAGAATGATTCATTTGGGCTGCAATTTTCAGGAATGAGTAGCTCTAGTGTGAAATGCTGCTGGTAACAATTTCAGTCCGATGTGTCAAACTAGAGCGAACTTTCAGCTTATTTTTAGTCCATTCATGGTGTTTAGAAGAATCCTTATAACTTTACCATTACAAGAGGTACAGAACTTGAAATTATTTCAGATTAAAGCCAATATTTGTGCACCGTTTTTGTTCGAATAGAATTTTGAAATCAGCGTTCATTCATTTTTTATAATCATTTTAATACATATGATGTTAAAATAAGCAAAAAAAAATATGACATCACCACACTACATCTCAATTCTCTTAGTACAGAAATTAACTATAAAAAATCTGGCTGGACAAAAGTTTACCCTCATTTAGACCTTTAAAGCAAAAAACAAAACATGAGTTATGTCTTGAATTGTATAGTAGGAGCTCCATTTTTTTTGATTGAAAACTATGTTCAGAGAAAAATAGTAAATAAGTTTAGACATGGATTTTTTCATTCAAATCCAGCAAAAAAAATCATATTAAAATGACATACTCATAATATATTTAAGTAGAATTTTTAAAAGTACGTAATAGATGACGTAAACTAGCGCCATCTATCATACTTAAATTATATAAGAATGTTTATTTAATGCTCATGCAAATAAAAAGACAGTCTTCCTAAAACTAAAAATCTTTGAAAAAACTACGAAAATCTCTCGAAAAACATGGTAGTAGGGTCGAAATTTGTTTCGAAAATCTGTTAAAGTTTGACCTTTCTTCGAAAAGTCATATATATTTTGAGAGAGAAAATTTCGGTGTATCTTTCTATGATAAAGACTCAAGTTCGATTTTTTTTTCAAAAAAATGGATTTTTTGAGGGGATCTTAAACGTCTCTTAGCGTTTTCTAAACGATGAAAATAAATTCCCTTAAGATCCTCCCGCTAAAATCTAACTTCGGCAGGGTACATGACATATGGATGAAACTTTGCATAGATGCTTGATTCATGAAAGTACATTAATAAAAAAAGTTTCATGCCTCGATACCTTACCATTCAGAAGATTTCCAGAAACCAAGCTGCAAAAATAGGAGCTTTTACGCAGGCAAATTTTTTATCAATAGATTTCAAGCTACATAACTCGGGTTGTTTTCATTTGAAAGAGAACTCTTTATTACTTCGAATGAGGGAAAAGGATTGTTTTTAATTATTACTTGGTTTTATTTTTCCGATCATCATCGAAACTTCCAAGAGCTGGAATTACTAAGCATGATTTTCTGGAAAATTCAAGCTTTATTTAGTATTGACGATAAATTAGCAAATCCTTTTCTCTTATCTGAAGGATTATGCATATATCTGTTGATGAACAAAAATAGGGCTCTCTGAATGAAGTATATTGAGAAAAAATTTGTCCTAAGTTCGATCATTACCGAAAAAATCAATTTTGAGAAAAACACAAAAGAAGTTTTTTTTTTTATATAGTCTTCCTATTATTACTGAAAATGAAGGTGAAGCATAAATAAATCATATGTCAATAAAAGTACTTGTCTATGTACATTAGATTGTCCTTGTACGAGATACATCACAATAGATGATACTACCTACCGTTGCTTTTATATTTGTTTTATTATTCAACAACATGATAGAGACATAAGAATAACAAATTAATTTTTTCAATTCATTCGTTGCCTTACAGTTTTTTTGAAAGGCTGATAATGATAGTTAGCTTTTACTAATGTCCATTTAAAAAAAAAAGATGAGCGGGTATTTTTTTTTTAATAACTTTTTGATAGAAACAAGATAGAGAGCTGCGGTTTTCACTATTGAAACAAGAAGATGAAGTCACATCGAATTATGTATCATAGGTTCTCCTAAGACG